CATGGACCCTGGCTGGCACCCACTTTCCTTCCTGGAGCTTATCAGGCCCTCGGAGGAGCTGATGGTACTCCTATTGGGCAGATGGAGAAACTGAGGTCCAGAGAGGGGAAGCATCTACCCCACCTGCCCCCACCTGCCCCCGGCTTATCCTGAGCCGCCCTCCTCAGCACTCCTTGTGTCCAAGACTCTCTGGCCACGATGTGTTTCTCCTCCTCCCCCTCCCCCTCTTCCTCCTCTCCCTCTTCTTTTTATTTTAACTTTTGATTTTGAAATACTGATAGATTCACAAGAAGTTGCAAAAAAGAGTACAGAAAGGCCCAGGGCGCCCTTTCCCCTGTTGCCGTCAGGGGTAACATCTTGCGTCACTGTGTGCAATGTCAAGGCCAGCTCTGCCCTCTCTTCTTGCTCAAATGCTCCACACCCCTCCTCGCCCACAGACCATCGCCCATGCTGTTCCCACGCCAGGTACACTCTTCCACTATCATCCCTCCACCCTTTGTCTGAATGACTCAATTACCCTTTAGCGCTCAGGTCAAGCTGTACTTCCCCAGGGGCATTTTTCCCCACCACACCCTGCACCCAGTGGGTCAAACCCCCTGTGAAAGGCCTTGGCACCGAGACCCTCTCCGTCACTGCTCGGCCCCACTTTACATCCGTTTTGGCGATGTGTGTCCATCTCCTCACAACACTGGGTCTCACTCCCTGTGAGCAGGATCTGCCTATGTCTACTCACCACTTTGTCGTCTGGGTCCAGCATATCGTGCTAGTCACATAGTAGATGCTCAATAAATGTTTGATGGCTGGGAGGGTGGACACAAGAACCAGGGTCTCACAAAAACAGCCGAATTCGAACCTAGAGCCCCTGCCTTTCGGCCACAGCTCTGTCTGCTACACTCATCCTCTCTGCCCGTCTGTCAAGAAAGAGTTCCCAGCATCTCATCTAGGTTTGGGCAGGGGGTGGGGAGAGTGAAAGACATGCCTTCCATTGCCATCTCCGCCTCAGCATGACCAGCTAGGCCCTAGGGCAGTGGTTCTCAACCTGTGGGTCGCGACCCCTTTGGCGGTCGAAAGACCCTTTCACAGGGGTCGCCTAAGACCATCCTGCATATCAGATATTTACATTATCATGCATAACAGTAGCAACATTACAGTTATGAAGTAGCAACGAAAATAATTTTATGGTTGGGTCACAACATGAGGAACTGTATTTAAAGGGCCAGAAGGTTGAGAACCACTGCCCTAGGCCCAGACCAAAGGGGACGTGCAATTAACTATCCTTGATCAGGACGATCCTTGCCTGAGGGAAGCCCCTGTGTGGCATGCTGCAGTGGAGCTGAGGCCTCCCTGGACTTGCCCAGGGTCTTAACTTCTGCTGTGTGACATCCCAGACCCCCACCCCTCCCCTGTCAGCACCCTGAGTGATGTGGCCGTGAGCCGGGCAAGGACTCTCTATAGACCTTGGGCAAGTCCCTGCCCCTGTTTGGCCTCCGGAAGGCCCTCTGCACCTGCCCCCCACAGAGTCACCCCACAGCTGTGACCTCCCTGAATTGTTGTCTCCATCACAGGGTGACCGGGGCATGATGGGACCCCCAGGAGCACCTGGACCCAAGGGGTCAATGGTAAGGAGCAAGTCTGCATCCCTCTGCCCTCTCCCGTCACAGCCATGGCGGCAGCTCTGCTCTCTGCCTGCCTCTGCCTCCTCCAGACATTCAGGATGGTTTGCTCCTTCTCCCTCCGGGGGCGGGGGGAGGGGGGGGGCCTGGCTGCTGCTCTGTGTCCCTGGGCTGGGGCTGAGCCGGCTGAGGTGGGAGGAACTGAAGGAGGAAGAGACACCTTCCACCGCCTAGTCCTTCCTTTTCTTCCCTCTGCATAGGGTCATCCTGGAACGCCCGGTGGTGTTGGGACCCCCGGAGAGCCCGGACCCCCGGTAAGCAGAGCCCTCGTGTTCCTGAGCTCAAACCTACTGTCGGGTGAGGGTGAGGCATCCAGGCCTCAGAGTCAGACAGACCTGGGTTCGCATCCCAGCTCCACCGCTCCCTGACTATCTTGCCAGGGCAGATCACGGAACTCGGAGCCTAAATTTTGCTCAGCTGCAAAATAGAGAAAATAACTGAGGTCATGATAGTGTGATGGCACAGCTAAATGAAACCATGCGGCTGATGTTCATTCATTCCACAGTGACGTTCATTCCATAGTGATGTTTATTGCACGGGGCATCTTGGTCGTTAGCACCATTATGGCTTTGTTCATTTACTCGGGAAATACTGTGAAATTTGTGCCTGGGGCCTGGCCAGGAGCTGGGATGCAGCCATTCACAAGGCAGAAAGCAGTCCCTGTCTGTCCTTTAGGAGCTTCTAGTCTGGCGTAAGGGGGAGAGAGAAAACCCAATAAATAAGAAACCATGGGGCAAGGAGGGAAAAAATGGGAAATGCTGGGGACAATGGGCTGGGGATTAGAGCCGAGGATGCAGGGTCCTGGGCTTCTTGCGATGACTGGGGGACCTGGGATATTCCTGAGGATCCAAGGCAGGGAGGGATGGGAGAGGCAGGAGGGCTGGGGGAGGGGGGTGGTAGGAGCACCCAAATTCAGAGGCCCCTTCTACTCCCCGTGGGGTGATATGGGGGGAGGGAGGGCTGGCTTTCACCTAGAACATGGACCGTCTGGTCCCTCTGCCTCTGCTGATGGAAGACGTGGAGACTGGCAAGGGCACCCACTTCAAGGCCAGGGCTCAGGGCTAGGGGTCCACTCTGGGAGATGGAGAGATGGGCTTCAGGCAGGTGGAAAGGGTGTGAGGGGAAGCGCCCAGAGCAGTCAGGACCCCCAGGCAGGGCAGGGGGATAACTTCAGGCTGCCCAGGTCCCTCCAAAGGCCGGATCAAGGGGCTCCCTAGGGTCTGATGAAGGAGGCCACGGGAGCCTTTGGAGATTTGAACACAAGGAAAGTGTGCACACACCAGATCTCTACGCCAATTAGGGAAGCAAGGCCAGCACAGTTCCCAAACGTTTGTGTGCACCTACTGTGCGCGGAGCCTATGCCCAACTCCAGGGGTGCAAAATGGTAAGAAATAGCTCTGCTCTTAAGATTCTCACTGTCTAGTGGGGGTGCCGAGTATAATCATTCTCTCGCTCATTAACAGATCTTTACTGAGCACCTACTATGTGGCAGGCAGTGCTGGTTGTGAGAAACCTGGCCACAAGTGACCATCATCCAAACATGGGTGACAGGCAACAGTGGGTTCTGCCTGCCCCCCCCTCCCCCCACAGTCCTTTTGATGAGGCAGAAAGCTCTCAGAATGCAGAGCTGAGGTCAGAAGCCAGCACTCTGGGCCCCCCATGGCATGTTTCTTCCCGGTTCATGAGGAGGAGGAAAAGCCACCTTTGGAGGGGCTGGTTGCAGGTGAAGGCACCCAGCTTGGAATCCAAGGGCCCAGTCACCCAACCAGAGCCTACGTCCCACCTCCCTCCCCAGTGTTCACAGGACCTGAGCACCAGGGCCCAGGAAACACTCCTGGAAACAGAGTGATGCGAACCCATCAGCGTGGGAGGTGCCCAGGCTCAGAGACCAAGTACAAGGATGCTAGGGACCATGATCAAACCCTAGCTCTGGCACCCCTGGACTGCGGCCTCCCTGGGCCTCAGTCTCCCCATCTGTCCAGTGGGAAGAAGAAAGCCTGGAAAGGAGTTGCTGGGACAAAATGGAAGGCCAGTGGGAGGTGGGCCAACAGTGGGGACATCCAGGGCAGCGCATAGGAGGAAGGTGCTGACCTCCTGAGAATTCCCTACCCCCGTAGCCCAACTGACGTCCTCCCGCCCCGTTTCCTCAGTGCTTCCATCTGGTCACTGGGTTGGCCCAGACTGAGTGAAATCAGATCCCAGGCCCCCACCTACTAGCTGTGTGCTTGTTGGCAACACCCACAGCTCCCCTGAGCCTCAGCTTCCCCATCTATAAGCCAGCATACTACTACCTTCATTACGAGATTGCTGTGAGACAAATGATTTCGTTCATGATGTAATTGTTCAGCAAACTACCTGCATATACTAAGTGCTTATGAATGGTCTTAGTAATAATAATTACTACTTGTTAGCTACACTAATTACCACAAGTATTAATAAGACTATTACTAGTACAGGGACATTTCTGGCAATATTGTTCGTATCCGATTGGCATTTTCCCACTTTTCCAAACACTTTAACACCCATGTTTTTCTGCAGTCCCTGAGGTCCATCAAGATTATCCTCCCCGTGGCTGGGGGCGGGGACACAGTCAGGTCCTGAGAGCTCCAGTTTCTGGCCTTCTCCTTTAAGAGAGCTGGTAGCTACCCTTTCCTGGGGACCAGCCAGGTCACTGCGTCTGTTCAACAGCTCTAGGAGGCTGAGGCTCTTCTTATCTAAATTTTTTAGTTGATGAAACTGAGGCCAAAGCGTTTGAGCCACTTGCCAAACTGACAGAATGAGTAAGCGGCAGAGCGGGATTTGAACTTTGGTCTCTGGTGGAGCAGCTGGCCTGTGGAAGCACTTGGCTCTACTGCCACTAAGTCGAGATTTGGCTCCTGAGATTTCCCAGGGACGCATCGCGTGCCTTCTGCGGTCTGAGCTCCCTCCGTAAAGTGGTCCCTTCTCACCAGTCCTCGTGGTCTCCACCGTCCTCGAGTCAGACCTGCCTCTCTGTTGGGCCAAGCTGGCTTCACACCCTGCTTGCTCTGCTGACCAGGGGTCCGGTTGGGACCCAGCAGCAGCCGGAGGGTGCGCATCCCTCCAGGCCATAGGGAGAGAGAGATGGGAGCTGCAGGAGTTGTTGCTGAGGCCACAGACGGAGCTGGGCTCTCTGGTATTCGGAGGGGGCTGAGGCCGCCCCCTCTTCCTTGTGAAAGGAGCAGGCCCAGTCTGCGACTGGCCGCTGAGCTGCTCTATCCTCTTATCCCCATTGTTTAGTTTATGAAACTGAGGCCAAAGAGTTTAAGTCACTTGTCTAAGCGACAGAATAAGTAAGTGGCAGAGCTGGGATTTGCAAGTGGCTCTGGAGGGGTCCTGGCCGGCCACTGGGAGCAGTTGCTGCCTGATGGGTATAGCTGGGGCCGGAACCCGGGAAGAGAAATTAGGCAGCGAGACCACCTGCTCCCTCTCTTTGCCTCCTTTCTCTCCCTCCCGACCTTCTGTTCTCTTCAGTTGTTTGCGTATTCATCATTCCTTCAACAGATTCCTAACTCCCTGCCACAGGCCTGTGCGGGGCCAGTGCTAGGAACAAAGCCAGCCCTGCTTTCTGTCCCTCCGCCCTGTCTCTCCCGTGCGCCTCTTCTTGTCATTCCAACATCAAACCAAGATAACTGGCATCCTCCTCGGGCCAGCCTGTGCCCTTCTCTTTGCACCTCTCCACCACCCCCTTCTCTACCCAGCCTCCCTGCCCCCCCTTCCCTGTGCAAGCCTGCATTCCCCTCCCTCACCTCGGGGCTGTGGTCTGGTCCCCCCCTGACCCCCCCAGAGCTGTTTCCAGGCTTTCAGGGAGCTCTCCGGTGATAGTTGGGGTCAGGGTGCGGGACAGAACTTGGGTTGCCACATTCTCCTTGCTGATAGGGGGAGACAGAGGAAATGGGCCCTGGCTGGTGGGCTCAATGGTTAGAGCATCAACCCACGAATCAAAGGGTCAGGGTTTGATTCCTGGTCAAGGGCACATACCTCGGTTGCAGGTTTGCTCCCTGCCCCCTATCGGGGCATGTGGGGGAGGCAACCCATCGATGTGTCTCTCTCACACCCATGTTTCTCTTTCTCTCTCCCTCCTTTCCACACTCTCTCTGAAAAGCAATGGAGAAAAGATCCTTGGGTGAGGATTAACAACAACAAAAGAGGAAATGGGAATTTAAGGAGAGTCTTTTCTCAGAAGTGTCCTGTAGCCTCTGCTTGTTGATTTTGAGATAAAGAAGGAAATGGCTCGTGCAGGGAGGCCTCCCCGCGAAGGAGAGGAAGGGTTGAGGCCCAGGAACCAGGCTGAGTCCTGCTCAGGGTTGCAGCTTCTCCTCTGCTTCTCCCAGTGGGATAGGTTTTCCCCCCGGGGCCACAGCCTTTAACGGGAAGGCTGCTGAGCTGGGCAGGGGGCCGCTCCTGAGGCCAGGCTGTGCCCCTTGCTGCTCGCCCTCAGTGCCGACTCACTCCCTGACAAAGGGCTTCTCCAAACTCTTCTCCCCACAGGGTCCTCCAGGATCTCGAGGCCCACCTGGCATGAGGGGAGCGAAGGGACGCCGGGTAAGTGAGGCCCAGCCCCCGGGAGCTGGCTCTGGTCCCCTGCTGGGGAGACCACCTCCTGTACCTGGCCCCCCGCCCCGTGCTGAGGTCCTTGGCTTTCCCAGCACCAGGCAGGATTCCAGGCTCACTGTGGGACCCCGCCCATTTTCCAAGCCATTTCTGAGCACCAGGCCTTGCCATCCAGTGGGCACAGATGGGCTCTGCGGTCCCAATGCTTTGTGCGTTCATTTGTTCGTCCAGCCACCTTTTATGTACACCCACTCTGTGCCGGCCGCTGAGACCAGGGCAGGCATGACGCCTGCTTGCCTTTTGATTCAATCAGGTTGGTCAAACAGCCAGTTTAGGGTCATTGGCATGTAGTTGGTGAAAGCATGGGGCAGCTTGGGAGCCTGTAGGAGGCACCTCACCTGGACAGGGTACCAGGGAAGCTTCAGGGAGAGGGCGGTGCTTGAGCTGGTGCCAGATTCCAGGCCGAGGGAAAGCCCACAGGCAAGAGGAAGGTGGCATGTTTAGGGATCCCCAACAGAGGGACAGGGGAAAAGGATGGGACCAAGAATTAGTGGGTGCCACGCCAAGCGGGGCCTCAAACACCAGAGCTAGGCTTATGGGCTCTGCTCCAAGGGTAGTGGGGAGCCATAGAGAGTTTTAAGCAAGGGCTGGTCTGATCACGGTAGCAAGAGGTAATCTCTAGTACTTACTATGTGCCAGGCACCATCTTATCACATACATCAACTCATTTCATCTCAATGCTACCCTATCAAGTAGGTGTTATTCTTAATTCCATTTTACAGACCAGGAAACTAAAGCACAGAGAGGTTAAGTCACTTGCCTCAGGGTGCAGAGCTAGAAAGTGGCAGAGCTGGGATTTGAACCCAGTGGATCTGGCTCTTTTGCACGCTGAATGCAGCCTGACTTTCAGTCATGCAGGGAGGGCTGATGGAGGGGTTTCCGGCACCCACTGGCGTCCAGGGGCCAGGCCGTGCAGCCTGTAAAAAGGAAACGAGATGGCGCAGGTAGTGCAGGCAGCCCGGGCCTGCTAGCCAAGCGCCATACCGGGGAGCAGTGACGATTACGCTTCCCTTGGCTGAATTTCAAGCGGTTTTAAATTTTCCCCTGAACCAGATGGCCTGAGCAGTCAGCCTAGGAAAGGGGAGATTGAGAGGCATTCCTCGGGCCGGCAGGGCCCCTCCCAGCAGCATGCCCTGGGTCTATGCAAGTGGACCGAGGCCCATGGACAGCCACCTGACCTGTGTACCTTGCCTCCTGGAGGCCACAGGAGCTGGAGGCTGAGCTACATTGGCCCAGGCCCTGCCCCCTCCCTCCAGATGAAGGCTCAGGCCCCCTCAGCTCACTGAGCAC